AATTTGAATAACATTGTATAATTAATCAGTTAATAGCAAGTTGTAGGAGATGTGATATTGAAACATAAATAACTTTTAACTGTGCTATGATAATCCATTTGGCATAATATTGTGATGTTATATGTCAATCCCTTCTTTCCTTCTTACCCATGTACTTTTTCTCTTCATTTAGTTTTTAGCACTAATAATATTTGGCAAACCATTATGACTTTCCGTCCAAAGAAGAATCATAGATTTTGAAATAAGTCTCTTGTTTGGAGGCACCATGGTTTGCCATGCATCATGGGAACTATTATATATTGTTCCTAGAATTAACACAAGGAAGGTCCTGTTGATATCACTAACTATAATTACCACAGTTGAAAATCTCAGTATGGTTAGTGATAAAAGAGCATACTTAATAAATAGGCACTAGTGGCAGGGGTATTCTGCTAATAGGAAGATGATGCTAGAACTTGCAGTATTAAGTAATACTGCATTTCCTCAATTCTTCAAAAAATATTCATAACCTCAGAAAAACACCCCTTTGCATATATATGTTTGTATGTGTGCACATGTATGCACATACAAACACTCCATTACTATTATGTCAGTCCACATCAGAAGAATTTGATTTATTTTGTTAACTGCTCATTTCTGAATAATGATCAGTTGTAAATAATTTCAATGTCTTGGTACTGAGAGGATATTGGATTAGCAAATATATGATTAATATGTAATACTGTTTTATTTCTCAGCTTGGTTAATGGTTTATTTTTTTCCAAAAGCTTCATTTTAACCTTTAATGTGGCTAATCATATAATCTGAACAGAGTAAGTTGGTAGTAGGGTTCTCATTGCTTATTTTCAATAAATATTAAACAGGTAAACACCAATAAAAAACTAGGCTTATTTTCAACCATAGGAAATGTACTTCTAAATTAACTCCAAGAAATATATACTGAAAAGTGACTTCCTTACCTTCCAGTTTTCAACCCAGTCCAACATAAGGCATTGTCCAGATATATTTCTTCATGTTTCTTCCTAGGTTACAATGCACCATACCTCTCAGTTTATAGTGAAAATGCGGTTGATATATTTGATGTGAACTCAATGGAGTGGATTCAAACCATCCCCCTCAAGAAGGTAACTAGTAAATTATACAGTAAACTAAACAGTTTGGATAGATTGTTCATAATATAAATGAAAACACATACTGAGTTCCCATCTGGATTAAAATATTATTCTGATAACTAGGAAGGGAGACACCCACCCACCTTCAGGTCTGCGATGGAAACTAATTAGGTATGAAGCAACTACTCATGGAAGCTGCTGACAGAGTTCTGTTTCTGTTGCAATAAAAAGAATCTTTCAAGCACTTCGGATTTTTAAAGAAAAGACACTTTAAACAATACAATACATACATTCCTATTAAATGTTTTCAGCATTTCATCAGGAGTTTGGTACATTTTTTACCTAATATTTTTTATTAAAAGAATAATTTTTCTGAGCTGCAGCTCACTTCATCAGTGAGTAGTTAAACTGATGTAGGACTTCAGTTGGAGAGAGGTGGAGATGAGAAAAGGAAGAGAAAACAAGTTGGTTGTGCAGAAGGAGGTTAGAGTCAGATTGCAAATATCTTATCAGTTAACAATTGTGATGTTTAAAACCCCAATGTTTTTAAGCCCACCCACCAGAGTCTGCCTCCATGATATTCATGTACGATGTATTCAAATTTATACTGGTTCATATTTTCTTCACATCTTTTTACTTTTTTTTTACATTTTACATTTTTAGGTACGTCCTTTGAACACAGAAGGGTCGCTAAATGTCCTAGGACTAGAAACTGTTAGATTAATCTATTTCAAAAATAAGATGGCAGGTAAGTAAAATAAAAAGACTGCTATCTACATTAATTACTGTTCATTGAGACATTAATAGAATGCTGATGCATTGAATGCAATCCAAGTAGCCTTTCCTCAGAAGCATTTCAACATTAAATTTGTAAGTGCTGCAATTCCCACAATTTTAAATATAATTGAGGAGAAACAATTGTGCTATCTCATCATGATAGGCTAAAAATATTTCAATTTTTCAATAGAAAAATAGAATAAAAATATTTTCAAAATATTTCTATATTTTCAAATAGACTCCATTTAGATGTCTCATATTTCTAGCACTTCAGCATAATTGAATTTTAAGTCTATTTCAGGGAGTCCTTGATTTATGACTGTAATAGAGTCTGGAATCATAAATTATGACAGACAAAAATCGAGGCACTCAAGTGACTGAACATGATTTTATTATGTTTTTGCAGTGGTTGTAAGCAAATGCCACAATTGTTAAACAAATCAATGTATTCCTATCAATGTTTTGCCAAAAACCAACAAAAAACAAATTGTAGTCACATGACCATGGAACACTGCAACTGGTCATAAAGGTGAGCCAGTTGCCATGAGCCCAAAATCCAATCATGTGACTGCAAGGGATTGTGCACCTGTCTGAACTCTGGAACCAGGTAATAAGTAGCTTTTGGCAAGTCCATCATTATTTCAAATTATCACGAGCAATTGGCCATAAGTTAAGGATTTTGTACTGATTTTGTTACCACTGAGATTTTTTAACAAGTTACTTGCAGTTCATCAAATATAAGATGTATCAATACTTCCTAAAATTATAGATCCAGATCTTTGAAATAAATAAAACTTCTATGAATGCAATGGTTGGGAAGTTTATAGCATTGTAGAGTTCCTCTCCATTGACAGAAGGAATTCTTCTTTATAGTTGTATTTATCGGTAAAGTACTTTCAGATTAAAAATTAAGTACAGAGAATTAAATCATTGAGTCAGCACTGTGAATTCATTCTTGTTTTTTCTTGCCACTTCCCAGTAAATGTGATAGGCAGTGTTTCAATCAGCACCACAGACATTTCAGCAGGTAAATCTAGTAGTTAAAGGCTCTGGAAGGAATATTACTTGAGTAAACTTTTGTGTCTCACAATCTCCTAGAAAAACATTCCTATTTGTTTTATTTTATAATCTCTAAAATAAACATTTCTAAATTACCCATTTATTTTGTATAACATGCCAAATATTTTTTGTATATCACATCTACTTTAAGCATAAAGTTTTTCTTAGAAGAAATTGTGAATGCAAGATTAACTCTACATTAGGTGCAAAGAAGTAGAACGAAGCACAGAAGTGGGAAGTTTTACCTTACATATTGTTCTAATGATAATTCCCATTACCACCATCACCCAGTCTTTGTCTCAGAACAAGATAATTTTGCCTCTGAACTTACAGATGTACAAGTTGCACAGTAACTATTTGGGGTGCAAAAATGATCAGTTGAGAAAAAGTCATTTCTTTCAAAGTCAGGATTCTCTTGTTTTTTTAATTTTTCAAGCCTCTAAATGAATATTTGCAGATAGCATATAATTAGTATAAGCTTAGAACCGTAACATTATACTAGGTATTTATATTTTTTCCATTGTTTTAGCATTGGCAGTTGTGCCTAATTTAGAAAAGTTTTCTTACACCCTCTGCAATTGGGAAAAATTGATCCTGCTTGGATTTTTATGTTTCTTCTTAGAGGGTGATGAGTTGGTGGTTCCTGAGACATCAGATAACAGTCGAAAGCAAATGGTCCGAAATATTAATAATAAACGGCGCTACTCATTCCGAGTGCCTGAGGAAGAGAGAATGCAGCAGAGAAGGTCGGTATTCAACCTGTACTTGTCTTCTGTCCATGCTTGTAGGCCGTGAAGACTGTTGTGTCCCGTCGTTGTATATTTTTTTTCTTTGTTCAGAAAAAAAGAGATTTCTGGTCAATGCATTCAAACATTTGTCTTTTCTGTTATATAGTATGCTTTGTTTATTATTATGTATAACCCAATACTTAAATTTATTTTAATTTAAATATCAATGCAAAAGAACTATTGTAAATTGGAATGCATGTCTCCAACTACTGTACATAAGTACATTTGTGTGTGCATGTGTGTATATACTGTATATATGACTGATAATAAAGTTTTACAAAAGAAATTTATATTGCTAATTATGCATATATTGTCCAGTTTTGATATTTTCTTTTTTGCACAAATCCTATCTGATTATCTGATACACTGATTTTTCCAGTGCTCTGATGATAACAATTATTTTTCAAATTTTGTGTAGTTTTCAGGCAGTAAAAGGGGTCACCTTGCAAGATAGCATTCATACTATATGAAAATATTCAGGAAGGATTCTGATTTTTAAGAAAATACTTTCAAGACACATGGAGTTAATGTTTCAGCATTTCTCATGTATAGGCTGTGCTGATAAAAGTTTGTATACAATTATGGGAAAACAGGGAAATAATACAACTTGCTTGTTCTCAAGTCAGCCTTTTTTTTTTTCACTACTGTTGAGGCTTTTTTAGAGCTATTTATGACATAATCCATGATTAGAACCAGTTTTATGCTGTCAGGTTTTCTAAAATGCTGGAAACTCTCAAGAATTTTCCTTAGTATCCTACAACACATTGGCAAATTTCTGTAAAGCTTTTTAAATTATTGTAAAAGTAAAATGCGAAGAGTAGTGCTATATTCTTCTAATCCTTTTCTTTTCTTCTATCCTTCATCTCTGCCTCCATCTTTGCAGCATCCGATCATCACTGAGCCCACTTCTACACCTTTTCTTGAATGTTGTCTCAACTCCCTCTCGTAGTGCACTCTGAGACCCAGTAACCATTTGGACTTTTTATGAACATGGCCTGTTAAGCTTTTAAGCCAAACCTCTGTTCTTCCTGACCTTTTCCCTCCCATCAAGCTAACAGCTGAGATAGAATCAGTATCAGAATTTAAAGTATTTTTCTTTTAAAATTTAGCCAAATATTTGGCTATTTGGAATAATTTATATGACTAGTATTTGTGTTTATAAATAGCCACTTCAACATACAATATCTGAATATTTTCTTTTGCAGAGAAATGCTGAGAGATCCAGAAATGAGAAATAAATTAATTTCTCACCCAACTAACTTTAACCATATAGCACACATGGGCCCAGGAGATGGTATACAGATCCTCAAAGACCTGCCCATGGTAAGTACAGCCTGGTGTATAACAAAAGCAAAATGAATTTGTCTGAAATATAAAAAAAAATGTATTGATTTTCTGTCCTATTCACAATCTCACTACTCTCAGCAATTTACATACATGCAAATTTTAAAACATCTGTAGTTTGAGTAAAACAACACAAATAAACAAAATCATAACATTAATGATCAACATAGCAATAAAATGAAAAAAACAGAAAAATAAAAAAAACAAGGTGGCACAAAAGGAAAGCATCTTCCTTTCATATTTGAAGGAAGAAAATGCCATTTTTTATTTCACCCTCAGATCAGAAATCTCCAGTCTCCCATTTCTTTTTTTCCATTGCTTCCTTACCATCACTGCTGTCACTGATGACCATTTACGTATCACAGCTTTCCCCAATCCTCTCTTAACCCTACCATTCTGTTTTCCCCAATTTCCCATCATCACTCTTCAGTAACCTGGCTAGGGAGGCTTGTAATTTAGCACATCCAAATCAATGGGATGGATAACCCTGGCATTTCATACGCCATTCTATCCCTGTGCTTATTCATTAGTGAACGAGTCAGTCAAGGTCTTCTTTAAATTCGAACCTGGTCAACTTGCTGTTTCTGTTTTGTATGACTTTACCTCTTAGCTGTTTCTGACTTGCCTATCTTTGTGTTGCAGAACCTTCGGCCTCAGGAAAGTCGGGCAATGTTTAGTGGTTCTGTCAGTATCCCTTCAATCACAAAAACCCGGCCTGAGCCTGGACGCTCCATGAGTGCTAGTAGTGGTTTGGCAGCAAGTAAGTTTTCTTGGCATCAGTCTCTTTCTCGATTTTCCTTGAGAAGGGTATACTGTTACCTCTGCATTTGTCTGCTTCCTGAAGAATGTATTATGAAAGGATCAGACATTTTGGTGGTCAAGGATGTACGACCTTAAAAACAAAGGGAATTTAGTCAAGAATTTAGGGATAAAAGATGAGAGGTTCTCTTTGGAGAGAATACAAATATGAAAGCAATGCAGATTTAATAATTTTCAAAGGCAATAACACTGGATTTATGTATATATAAGAGCTGCAGTGGTTAGAGCCCAGTATTGCAGGCTACGTCTGCTGACTGTCTGCAATGTGGAAGTTCAAATCCCACCAGGCTCAAGGTTGACTCAGCCTTCCATCCTTCTGAGGTCAATAAAATGGAAAAACAAAACTGGCAACCATCAGTAGACCAGATAACAGTAAAGGGTGACAATGAATACTATGGGTTAGTTCTAATGCTTTTACATGGTATGTAGTTAAATTCTTGGGTGCATTTCTAGGAACATCTGCACAAAATGGTAGTGCTTTGCGGAGAGAATTCTCAGGAGGTAGCTATGGAGCAAAGCGTCAGCCAATGGCATCCCCTTCAGATGGCTCTTTGTCTTCTGGTGGCTTGGACCAAGGCAGTGATGCACCAGTGAGGGACTACGAGAGAGAGGTGGGTATAAGCTCAAGTTTATGCTTAAAGTAATTAAAAATAGAGACACGTGACTACTGTCCTCAATAATTGAAACCAAGTATTACTCTGTAAAATATGACAAAAATCCAAAGTAGCATGAATTAATTATACTGACAATTTTGTTAGCAATAGCAATAGCAATACCAATATCATACCAAGCCTGATTTATGAAAATTATATACAACATAATCTGTAAGTCATCTGATCACAGAGGCAAGCCTTAAATTTTTGAATTGTTTGGTCCGGGGATCAAATTGTAAACTTCTCAAATGGGCTGAATTCCCTGTGGAAACAACCACCAGCTAAAAAATGTTCTGTTGAACAAGCAAAAAATATTCCAAAAAACAATTTGGGGAAATTCTTGGTCATACAAGGGTTGTTGTTTTTTTGTTATTGTGAAGGAATTGTTTAGGAGTATGTAACACAGTGCAGTACGAACAAAGCCACTTCAGGAAATTATGCAAATAAACATTTATATAAATGTGAGTATAGCATTTGTAGGCATAGATGCAGATACAGGAAAATAAAAATTAGATCAACAAAGGTCCCTAAGTGTATTAATTGCCACTGAAGTTTATAACAACGCTAGAAAAAAATGTCTGCCAAAAATATTTGGCAGATTGTGAATATAAACATGTTCTACTGTATTAGTGACACTGTTACGAGGACTCAAAATGTCAAGAACCCAAAAAAAGACCTTCTAGAAAGTTGCCTGTATAAATGTGCTGTTTGTTTTCATCCCTCCAAAAGTTCACGCCAATGCGCTTGGGGAACAAAATTAGGAACATTCTCTTGATAAGGTAGAATGGGTATTCTTCACTGCCTATTTTTGATAGGGTTGCTGGCCAGGCAAAGAAAGGAGAGGTATCACTTGGCATTCCATTCCTTCCTTGTCCCTTGCTTCTGTAGGTTTCCAGTCCTCCCTGTTTCCATTTGTTGCCACACTATTGTTCACTAATATGTTCTCTTCACGTGTTTTGGGCTGCAGGACTCTGACTCTCCAAGGCATTCTACAGCTTCCAACAGTTCCAACCTGAGCAGCCCTCCCAGTCCCATTTCTCCTCACAAGACCAAGAGCCTCTCCCTGGAGAGCTCGGACCACGTGAGTTGGGACTCATGAACTGCTTCGGCACTCAGATTTGACATCTCAGCAGCTTTTGGTCCCCATGATTCTCCATTTGCTCTCATTCTCATCTCCTCTCAGCTTCCCTACAAGAATCAAACTGTGGGTGGGAGGGGGAGGAAGAGAATGTATGTGCCATAATTGGCACCAGTAGCGCAATTCTCTTCCCCTCCTAATAGTAGCCAGCAAACGAAAGAAAACCTGGTGGAGGGCAGCAAGGAGTTGTTGTTATATGAGAAATATTGGTAATGTCTATTATTATCAATTTTATTTCATAGGATTATGAAATTCCATTGTATGGCATATTATGCAACACATCACACTGCAAACAAAACATGGTAGTGTAGGCTGATATACACAATAATGTAACAGGAAACCAGACAGATTTGCTTTGGTACACGTAGACCCATATTATATTTTTTCAGAAATAAGTACAGCAACATCCTCCATGTTTGATAATAGGGTGAAATTTGCCCTGCTAAGGAAGATACACATGCTTTCAGACACTCTGAATGTCAGTCTGATTGCTACCAGTAAATCTTATTGATTTTGGGAAGGGTGGGGTGGAAATGATGCATATTTTACTATAATAGAGTTTAAGTAAATACACAAAATTAAGAGTTAGTACATATGTATATAATAAAAGGAAAAGCAGCATTGTAATGCAGCAGAAGTTGGATTCCTATTTAAGAGATCCTTTAATTTAAAATTTGTGGTGTTTCTTTTTTCATACTAAATAATCTATGGATTGAGGGTGTGATCTGAATTTAGAACATGGCACTGGATAAAAAACATACAGCCTAGATGAAGACTCCATCCTCACAATTTTTCTCTGTGACATTTCCTCATCAGTAGAAAAAACGAAAGCCATAAGCATCATTTTAAATTATCTCTGCCTGATTTCCACTTTATTTTACAAGCAAAACCTATTGTTTACTAGTACACAGATGAAGTAAACTGAAGGGTATCCAAACAATTATAGAATCTCCTCGGCTGAAGTAAATGCAAATAGAAATGAATGAGCTTTTGGAAAATTAGGGCTAGGCTTTCAAACCCATTTTGCCTTTTAATCACCACAAGCTCTTAAGTAACTTTCTTAGTTAACTAAGAAACTAACCAACATTCACTGAATACAAGGATCATTCAGTCCAAAATAGAAGTTCTTGAAACTTAACATGCCGCTTGTAAAGTTGTTCTTTGCTAAATTATTCAACACTTCTGAAGATTTTAATTGCGGTCATCTGCTTACCCATCCTGGTCTAGAATTCCTATTGTCTTTGATGTAGAATTCTGGTGGTTGAATCTAATAGAGAAAGCTTAATCAGAGCACAGCATTTCCATCTGAATAGTTGAGATCCATCATCACCTAGAAATACAGTGGTAAAGAGAACATGCAGATGGAGGGGAAAGGCAAACCCCTTTTTCTTCCGTGTTATTGAATAAAATGAGTACGGTTTGCATTTTCACACGAGATGAATGTGAATTTTCTTTTTAGAATTGTTGCTTCTTTAGGCTAGACTTAAGCTCAAGTGGATAAAGTATTCAGGTGGTAATTAAAAAAATAGTTTCTACAAGTTTTGTAATGTATCATGAATATTGTCAAACAATTACAGTTAACATCAGTGGAAAACCAACAAATCTGTAAGAATTTCCTAAGTCACCTCTGAAAAATCATCAGCTACAATCACACAAAATTCTGACTGAAGATAGAGATCATTGTCTCTAATCATCTAGGTGTATTCAGTCTGTTATTTCTGTATTTGCATTTATCTCTTATGCTGGGGAATAATTGGGAGTAGGAGGCAAACTTACACTTTGGTATTAAGAATGGTATCCTAAACCTGTCTGTTGAATTGAGTTTATTAAGAATCTCAGAATTATGCTTTGTCATGAGTTAGAAACAAAAGATTTGAATTTCAGCACTACCAATTAAAAATACTAAAGGAATTTCCTGCAAGTCTTTTCCAAGGAATTGAGTCACAGCAACAAGAACAGCATATAAAATCTATTAGCTCTCGTCTCCCTTGACAGTCATTATTCCAAGATCCTGTTCAGTCTTTCTTACAATGATGCTCTTGCCATTGTCATTGCTCCATCCCATGGCGAAAAGGTTAGCATTCCCTCCACCCCATATTCGCTGGTGTTTTTTAAAGGCTTCTGGTTCTAGCTTTAAATTGCACCTGGCTTGCAGAATTATTGATTTCAGAAATGATATTGGAAGCCCTCAACAAGTCCTATGGCAATCAAGCTATGGTTCACTTGAAGACAGTTTGTCATACCTGCAAACAAGAGCTAATGGGACGAAATCTGCAAATTAGAAATAGTTTTACATCAAACTATTTAATAAATGAAAACAGTGTGAGGATTTGTGAACTTGCAATACCAATACTGATAAATCCTTGGGTACTTTTTCCAGCTGTACCCAACACAAACACTCTTAAATCTCTGAAGAGTTAGCTGGTAAATTTGAGGTTTGCAGCGGTGCATTTCTCAGTTTTCATTCCTACATTTTTTCCGTTTCTCCAGGCACTTTCATGTGCTCTGACTGAATCCTGACTAATTTGATTAGGATCTCTTTTGTATGCAGCTTGGAGCTATGCTGGCCGTAAATTTGCTTTCAACTTATTCAGGCACTTCATTCATTGCCCTGTTATATTTAAGAGGTTCAATAAATTGGATTATAACTGAACCTCAGATGGTTCACCACTTGAGACTCTGTGTATTTAAAATAGAAACAATCTATACACAACATTCATGTTTCTTTTCAGAATATATTCCTACTGTACAATTTTATTCTGAATCAATCTTTCATTAATGACTTTGTCTAAAATTTGATTGACAGGTTATGTTGTATTCCTATTTATCTTTTTTCTTGTCTTTTCTTAGAACAGCAGGGTTGGGGGTGATTCACTATAACATTTATGTTAAACTCAGGTATTCGGAAACAGCAGACTAATGTTTTAATATGTACATGTTAATGCAATAATGTACTTTTGGGTATGTGATTTCCCCAGAGACACATCTTAAGTCACAAGCAAAGCTTTTGTTCCAAAGTCAAAAACTTGGAAGATAAATTGAGTTAAGGATGATGGTGGGTGTTAAAAATACTTGGGATTTTTCAGCTACCAGATTTCAGGGATAACATACACCTGTATAACAGCAGCAGCAGCAGAGATTCTTCCTTTTTCCTTGCCTGTTGTTTAATGAAAAGAAATTGGCTTGTTAGGATTATACCACAGAGTTACCTCTTTGTAACTGGGGTCCTTTATCTAGGTGCACAGTTTGGAAACCCCAGGACATGCATGTGCCTTCAGAGGAAGGTTACTGAAAGGCTCCGGGCAAAATCTAGCCCAGAGCAACAGGACTAATCAAGGCACTGTCCTGTCACTTTCAAGTGTCATCATTTGGATTTTCCTGGGAAACTAGATTTGCAATTCTTCATCTATAGGGACCTTCAGGAATCAGTTAAAATGGAGACATTAAATTTTGGGGGACTACATTGCATGTTAAAGCGATTCCACACACACAAAAAATCATTGCTTTCCTTTCTCATTCTGCATAAAAAACATAGTCACACTGATGAGGAAGCAATTCACAACCAAAAACTGCCCTTGGTATTTAACAGAATTGTACCTGCCTTTTTATGTACGATTTCATATCATTTATTTTTTAAAAAAATATATTTTTAGGGATTTTTTTTCATTGTAATATTGTTGTACAGTTTTGCATGGCCTAGATGTAATCACTTTTTTTTGTTTTTGGTTTAGAGTATAAAAGCTGACAAGTGTGTGCGTGGGAGGGGGAAGTTCCTGCTTTGGCTCTTCTCACTCTTTTTGATTCATGTCCTCATGTCCTCAGTGTCGTAGAGGCACATTGTAAGAGATTCTCTGCTCCAGAACAATGATGTAGATTCTATTGCACAGAAATATTTAAGGTGGATCAGTCAAAGGTGTAATAAGTGGCAGACCACCAATATTTTACATTGATAACACTTAATATTAACCTACTTTGATGTATTGCAATAAAACAGGGAAATACTAGAAATTCAGATCGTTTGTCGTCTTTTCCCTTCCCCTCCCAGGTCAATTTTATGGTAAGAGTGGGCCCATAAATTCAGCTATTGAATTTCTAATTTCTTACTGTGCTGGGCCAGGAAACTTTAGGGAGTGGTTGCTCTCTTCCAAAGCATCTACTTAATTTAAACCATAGACTAATCATAGTTCGCCATTCTGTCCTTGTTTGCTCCAATGCTGCTGAGGATAAAAACATTTAAAGTCATATTTTTCTCCAGCATTTGGTTTTAAGCAATGAATCCAGGTGCATATTGAGTATACTGTGAATAGAGCTTAACAAATGGCTATTTGAAGGACAAACTGAACTTAAAATATTCATTTGCTCTTGTTGACTGATACATTTGAACAATCAAATAGAAACAGGAATTTATTTTGTAACCCTATAGATGCAGCTTCTTAGTTAGGAAAAACAGAGCAGAACTGTTGAGGGCATTTTTTTTGTTAAAACTTTGCCATCTCCACCCCAGCTCACTCCCATCATAAGTTTCCCATCATATATTTGCCCATAGTAGTTGCCCAGTATGCTATTTACAGTAGTTTATTTTATAAGAAACAATTAGGATGTCTGATACAGTTGCTAAATATCACAGTTGCAATGCACATGATTCCTGCACACAAACATTCCTGCCATTTCTAAAAACCCGTAACAGAAAAGCCCATGTCTTCTTCTATGGCAATTACATTGTTAACTATCCTGATGGTTCTTACACCAAACGCTGCTGGACCACTTTTATTTCTCCAGACAAAATCAAGCACGCTTTGTCAAAAATAATTTGAATTCACATAACTTACATAGTATTGCTATTGTCTTTGACTGTGAAGATTTAATGATGCAGAACTTCAGTCATGAGATGTTCAGAGAAGTTAATGGTATCATCACTATACAGTGTATATTTCTGATTTGCTTTAACATAGACCTGTGTTTTACTGAATCTCTCCCCTTGTCTGGAAAATCATTTCATTAATGATGCACGAAGCACTGTCAGGTCAGGTGAAAGCAACCAGAACGACTGGTGAATACTCCCAAACAGAAGCTTTATTGCTAGTCACCCATGTTACAAGAATCTCACCAGACTGACTGCATTTCCTTGGGAACAGTTAGGTAAAGGCTTCAAGGATTCTGGGGGAACTTATTTTTTGTGACAAACAGGAAGTAAGTGGTTTTCTTCTCTTGGCATTAAGGTTTTTCAAATATATCAAATAGTTTATTCCTTGTAAATGAGAGTGAATATTTCTTTGATTAAAGGCATTTGAATAATCACATCTGGAAGAGTGGTACTTTATATAATAATGTTAAATTCCTCAAAAAGCAGATTCCTATTGGCAGTTAATATTTTTGGTTTAACAAGCCCCTTGTCAGCTTTTTATACTCTTAGTAATGCTCATATTCCATCTTTTCACACATTTCATCTCTCTCTGATATTACAGCATAATACAAAGTTTTAAAATGTTTCTTTCCTGTTGAATGAAATGAAGATTGTAGTGGTCTATCAGAACAATGCACCAGATTATAAATAATATGTTATCATTTACAACAATCTATTCATTTTTCTATGAACTTAGGACTTGCAGTCCATGATATCCTTTCAATGGTATCACTTCAATGCCATTAATTTGCACTATGTGAGTAACACAGTAAACAGTTCCAAAGAAATAAGTTCAATTTATCTAAATGCATAGAAGCATCTGCAAGATATTCTAGGCAGCAAGAGAGGCTTAGGACAATGAAATAATAAAATGACCAGTAGCCACCCTTCTCAAATTCTTGCTAATATGACAATGAACTATCATATTGAAAGGCAATGAGAATGAATCAATAAAAATGAATCAATGCTCATACTATGGTAGAAAATATGACCAATTTATGCATATGGCTCCTCTTCAGCAGCAATTTGTATTTAAGTGACTGACACACAGAAAGGGAGGGAGGGAGAGGGAATTGTCCACAAAAACCTGCTTGCTACAGTTAAACCTTTTCTCACAATCACTTTGGTGCCTTTTGAGATAAGCCAAAATTGATGTAAATTGGAATAAATAATGGCAGACCTTCTGAAGCTGTCATATTATTAGAAAGACAATTTTTAAATTCTTTCTCTATCACCCACTATCCTAAATTCTAGTAGGAAAATTTATTTAGGCAAGAGAAAGCGGGATGTAATGGTTATTCCTTCCTTCCTGCAGGTTTTATACTTTTTGGTGTAGCATAAAGGTATAAATTCAATTTATTGTTAACACATTCAGCAACAGAATTAACCATCTTAAGCAGAAAATATTAAAAGGATTAGGTCAGAATTCAGCTAAAGAATGTTGCAGTTAAATTTTCTGGTTTCAAAGCGTTTACTTTGATTATTCCAGGCCATAGGGCAACTCTTACTGTAATTAATTATGGACCATCATTTTTTACTCCTAGCAACCACATAACATATATTTTTCTCCAGGATGATCTACCCCTAACATCATCTTTCAAATCTCCCAACAGTGGCATATATCACCATATAACTGAATCCATATAACCTTGTAGCTGTTCATCCTATTCCTTTTTTCTTCCACCATTCTCAGCATAAGACCTTTTTTTTCCAGAGAGCTGCGTCTTTGCATATGTCCAAATTAGTTTAATTTGAACCTGGTTATTTGTGCTTCATCTGAGAACTCTGGATTTGTTCAGTGATCCATCAGTTTGTTTTGTTGGCTGTCCATGGTTTTCTTAGGAGTCTTCAACAACAACCATGTTCAAAGGCGTCAAAACTCTTGCTAGCCTGCTTTTTTAAAATTCAACTTTCAAACTTAAAAACCCAATTTTTGTTATTTCAATTATGTATATTCAGCCAAATCTTATTCTTGGCATATAAATGGCAGTATTTTTTGACACACATAGTAGGGAAGCACCTAGTTTTTTATGTTTTGGATTTCAACTACTAGAAGCTCCAACTGCAGCAGGATCAACAGCAAAAGACTGTAGGAGGCACAGCCCAAGACATTTACAGAGTGTCAGGTTGCCTACACTTCAGACCATAGTAATATATCTTTATAAAGTATTGCTTTTAGTAAAATAGAGTCCAGATGAAGGCTGCTCATGCATTCACATCAACACATTTTCGGAATAGATAGAGGAAAAGCAGGGCTACAAGATCTTTGGCAACAATTTCCTTTCTTTGTTAAGTGAGCATTGCATATCCTCATCTGAAGCTTTTCGAGTTATTAAAACTCTTGTGGGAACTGAGTTTGACTTTGGGGTTAAATTAACAATTATTTTAGATAAAGATAGAAAGGTCAGAATTAAATTGAAAAATCAAGTTCAGATGAACACATGTATCACTGAGTCAATTAACTACACCAACACAATTCACCAACACAATATTTTGCACAAGCACCTCTTTATTGCAAATAAGTTTAAAGTTGAACAGTTACAAAAATTTATATATATATATATATATATATATATATATATATATATATATATA